GCAAAACTTTCTGAATTCAATATTCCTGTAGTATATTCAAGTGACAGATCCTTGAGAATAGCAGATCTACTACTTTTCTTCTGTAAATAAGGAAGCCAGGTTTCCCTCACTGGTGGATTGCATGACTCCACATTCCTGAACGTTGTTGTGACTTTGTAACTATTCCCAGAGGTAGAGTTTCTCATTCCTTGTGTCTTGCTTGGCCACATGGTGACTTAAATGGGGGGACATTCCCAAATATTAACCAAAACAGATTTGCAAAGTATTGATGCACTGGGGCGTGCAAGCTTTATGCTCTGTGGAACCAGGATCAAGGACAGTCATCTGGCTAATGACACATGATTAGAGTCATCACCATTGTCCTATTGAATATGAAAGTAATATGACACACAGGAGTGAAGTTATTTTAGACTGCGGAGGTCAGAGTGAGCTGGCTTAGACTAGAACCAACACCAGCTGGCCCAAAGAACCATGAGAATTAGATTTTTGGGGTTGTTTTGGGGCCCTATCTGATGAGACGCAGGGTATATATACTCTTAGCTCTGCTCTCGAGGATCATTCCTGACAGTTGTCAGGGGGCCATATGTGGTGGTAGGGATTGAGTCCTGGTTGATCGCATACAAGGCAAACACCCTACGTGCTGTACTGTTGCTCTGGTCCCTGAAGATTTTGTTTTTAAGCACTAAATTTTGTCTGGTATATCATGTCATGAAGCTAACTGATAGACTGATGAACACAGAAAAAATGTAGATCCATATGGGAATGACTTAAAGACAGACACACAGAGACAAGACAACTTGTAGGTTTCCTTGCACAGTCAAATGAAAATGATAAATGATTTGACACTCAGCAACTCCTCAGTTGTGCTCTTGAGACTGTCCTACATTCTTAGTTGAACTGTGATCCCTGTGACTTAGTAGTGATTAAATAGGTGCCCCAGTCACTGAAAGTTTTTTGAAATCATACAGCTCTGAACAAACACAGACAACTGTGTTCTTGGTATGTGCCAGTGGTGAAGAAAGATCAGATGGATAATTCAGATGAACTGTGAACCAGAAGACTCCCACGCAGCCAGAGTACTCTGAATCAGAAAGAGTGCCAAAAAGAGGCTCTAAGCAGAAGTTCTATTGCTCTTAAGCAATTAGGTAACTGATGCTGCTCTGGCAATGTGGATTGCTAGCTTCTGTGACTTCTCAGGGCACCTCAGTAGGATGTCCAAAATATCATTTCAACAATTTTTTTTGGCAGAAACTCTCAGAATTTCAATATTGTAATAAAAAACAAGGGATTAAATAGAGAACACTGGTTACCTTTAATCGACACTTGGTGTATCCTATTTGATGTTTTAGCTCATTAATTTTTTTTTAAATCTATGATGATGGAAATAAAAGTCTTTCAGGATTTATAAGATTCTAATTCTTAGGATGACATGGTAATTTTGACTTTTTTTGTATTGATGGCGTCATGATGAATAAGATATGAATATAAGAATAAGTCGTTTTTTATTTTTAAAAAATTGTCTTCTGAGAGTTATTTTGTACTAAAAGCTTTTTCTTTCATTCATTGATTTTTTTTTTTTTTGGTTTGTTTTTGAGAAGAGCATTTGGTGGTGGTGGGATGGGAAGAGGTCCCAAGCAGTGCTCAGGATGTCTGGGGACCCAACTGTCAATTCTCAGCAAATAAGACTGACTCTTCAGTGCCAGACCTGGGAATGGCATGCGACTCAAACTATGTGTATCTCTGGAGATATCTATGGGGACCACCTTGGTGGTGTTTGGTGCGGGGGAGAGGGGGGTATGGGCATGCTTCAGAACTACACATGTCTGGCCATGTGGTTCTGGGAATTAAACCCGGGCTAGATGCATCTAGACATGTGCCCTAACTACTCTATTAACTTTGAACCCAACATGCTTTTTATTTTAATAAAACCATCTTTAGGATGAAAACAACCTTTTTATTAAACGGATTTAATCTGTCCTTTGGATTAAAATGTTTTTAGTCTAATTATTTGAGATGTAAGCATGACTTTACAAGGCAGTTTATTTAAGTGATAGTGTTACAATTTAGGGAAATTATTTGTCTCTTGCTGCTCTTGATTACATGGTTACAACCATTATTTTATGAATTTAACTTGGAGATTGGTAGTATAAATTAAACTTGGAGATCTCTTACTGGAATTTTGTTTAAAGAGACAATAGTTATTAAAGAAAAGAAATGAATATGTAAACAGACTGCAGGTGGAACTTGAAGAAAAGTACCAAGATACCATTATAATGGAAAAGGATAGTGGCTGAAAGAACAAGGAATTGATATTAAACAGTGATCGAAAAATGAAGTTGTGTTAGCCAAAGTATACTGGGATAAAAACCAGAAACAAGTGTGAGTTAAATTTCTTTTCTAGTTAGCCATGTTTAAAAACACAGTTTAACAGATGAGAAATAAATCTTCTTGAACAGAAATATAATTTTTAATTGAGTTTCATGTATAATTACTGCCACTTTTTTTTTTTGCTTTTTGGGTCACACCCGGCAATGCACAGGGGTCACTCCTGGCTCTGCACTCAGGAATTACACCTGGGGGTGCTCAGGGGACCATATGGGATGCTGAGAATCGAACCTGGGTCAGCCGCGTGCAAGGCAAACGCCTTACTCGCTGTGCTATCGCTCCACTCCAAGCTGACAGTGTGCGTTGGCCGGGAGTTAAACCCAGGTCAACTGCTTGGAAGGCAGCTATGCTCACCACTATACCACCAATGCCACCCTGCCACTTTTAAAAAATGTTCCTCCTCTTGATTTTTCAACCCAATTCAATGGGACTTGGTGTTGGGGACTCAAAATTGAACCATGACCTTATTTCATATTGTGAAGTGATTCTAATAACTCTATACCAATATATAGTTATCAAATAATTTATACTGTGGATTAGAAGGAAGCAATGATCATGTAGGTTTATAAACAAAAACATTATATTTTTCTACTTAACAAATGAGATTAGAATACTAAGAGTTTCCTAGAGTTAAGAATAAATTGTGACCTTTAAAAATCAGTTCACTTGAGAATTGAAACAAATTATCAAGCTTATTTGTACTAGAATTTTTTTTTTTTGTTTTTGTTTTTTTGGGTCACACCTGGCAATGTACAGGAATTACACCTGGCGGTGCTCAGGAGACCATATGGGATGCTGGGAACTGAACCCAGGTCGGCAGCGTGCAAGGCAAATGCCCTACCCACTGTGCTATCACTCCAGCCCCTGTGCTAGATTTTTCTGTCCAGAAGCTTGCTACTAATTGAGATTAGGGCTGTCTCTAGGTGGAATAGTAGGTTATTGTTCTGTCTTACAACTTTCCATCATCCATGACTTTTCCCAGAGAGTATGTTACTAATCCAGTGTTGGCACCAGACTTTTTTTTGTCACTTTAAATTTTATTTATGTATATATATGCATATATGTACATTTTGTGTATTTCTATATGTACATACACAGACTTGATGTTTTTATTTGATTTAACTCTGACTTGGGGACCACACCCAGTGTTACTTAGAGGAATCAAGACCTTCTATTTGGGGGACCATGCAGTTCCAGAGATCGAACCTGAGCCTGCTACATACAGTAGATGTGGGTTTTACAATTTAAATTATGTAATTCATGTCTGTGTGTATGGATGTACATATGCATAGATTTCAGAAAAGTATATAAACATATAACTGAATATAAAATACATATATATGTGTGTGTGTGTGTGTGTTTGTATGTGGCACAAAACCCCTATGTTTAAATTGCTGCAGGTTTTTGTTATCTTTGTTGACCCATTATTGACCAGGGAGATGAGCTAGACAGTGAATCTAATCATTTTTGTGAGCATGTCTGGACTATAAAGTGCAGTGCAAGCTGGTCATTTCCAGTGAAGCAATCTTGTTAAGGGCTCCTTGTTGGCATTTAAGCAGTTTGAGAACCCAGGATATAGAGGAGTTAGGAAATAAGAAAAGGGATAAGTCTTTTTTTCTGTTTCACAGTTTTCCCTGAGATTGGGTGCATCCCACTGCTGTTTTGAAAGTGGAGAGAAATCTGAAGATGGTTTTGCCAAATATGCTCTCCTTTGGAATGCAGACTTCAGAATAGAATTGAATAGTGTAGCAAACCAGATTCTAATGTGATTCTAATGTTAAAGTGAGAGAACCCTTTTAAAAGTGTTAAATTTTTAGACTTTATTTAGGTTTCTTGCTCGAGTGGGCCTAGTAACGTCTCCGTGGAAGACTTTTGTTGTTACTGTGTTTGGCATATCGAATACGTCACGGGGAGCTTGCCAGGCTCTGCCGTGCGGGCAAGATACTCTCGGTAGCTTGCCGGGCTCTCCGAGAGGGGCGGAGGAATCGAACTCGGGTCGGCCATGTTGGCTGCGTGCAAGGCAAACACCCTACCGCTGTGCTATCGCTCCAGCCCTGCTTAGACTAAGTTCTTGCTTTATGGAAAGTCAGTTGATGGTTAAAGTACGTATTAATAGCAAACATTTTCTTCCCCTTTTTGCAGGAGTGGGGGGCCAGGGTGTGGAGTCGGGGAAGTCTCCCAAGCAATGATCAGGGAACCCTGAGGCCATTCCTGGTGATGCTTGACCAACCAGGGGGATAGCTCAATGCTAGGATTTCAGGATGCTTCACTGCTGGGAACCACCAAGGCCAACTTCTGTCCCATTTCCCCAGCAGTCAGTTTTCTCCTTTATGGAAAAATTGTGTATGTCTCTGTAGTGACATGTTAAGCTCTTGGCAGTTTTTGAAGCTTCCAGTATTTACAAGGTATAACCTGGCCTGAAAACTTATTGAAGTCTTTCATGTCATCTGTCATATAGATAAGGTCATCGAATAACTTTTTGATTTTTATCTAAGGATTCTTTTTATTGACTGGATTTCTCGATGGTTTTTAATTACAACTGTGGTTACCTTTTTGGCTCGCTGTTCATTCTAGTTGTTACTTATTTGAATATTTTTCTTCTCATATGAAAACAGATGAAACAAGAACTTATTCAACAACTTGAAAAAGAATGGCAGTTCAAGCTGGATCAAACCCTAAAGGCAGTGAAAAAGAAGACCTCAGATTGTTGTAGTCAGACGGACCAAGTAACCACCACTGATGTGATTTCCAAGGAAGAGATGGCGGCCGTATTGGAAGAGCAGAAGCAGAAGATCCATCAGGACTTGGAGCAAGAGAAGGAAAGGGCCATCAAGGGGGGTTTGGAGAAATTGGAGACAGAAATGGAGCTTAAATATTGTACAAATATTGCCAAGCAGGTACTAGGCAGTTCTACTGTAGTAAATTATTGGAATTGTCCATCTATTCATGATGCCTATAATATACTGCTTTTAAATTAATTAACAACTTAGTCTTAAAATTTTGTGCATTCCTCACTAGAGAACTTTTGATGCTGTTCCTTAAAATATTCTTCAGTATTTCTGTCACAAAACTGACACCTTTCTTTTCCTGTATCATCCTGCATCTTTGAGTTCACAAAAATGCTCCTCTGAGGTCGGCCTTAGCTTTTCTTGTTGTTGTCTTTTCTTTTTGCTTTCTGGGTCACACTCAGCAATGCTCAGGGGTTATTTCAGGCTTTGCACTCAGGAATTACTCCTGGCGGTGCTTGGGTAACCATATGGGACACCGGGGATCGAACCCAGTTGGCTGCGTGCAAGGCAAACGCCCTCCCCGCTGTACTATCACTTCGGCCCCAGGTTGGCCTTAGCTTTAAGATGCATAAGGTTAAAGATTTTGTTTTTATAGAATAAGGAGTTACACTTTAATCGTGAGTCTTTAAAGTTTCACTTTATATACAATATTTCAGTAAAACGGTTATAGTTAAACAACTTTAAGGTGAATAAAGTACTTAAAAGTATTTGTTGTGAAATTTGCCAAGCTGAATCTTCAGGCATGTCTTTAAGTGGAATTTTGTATCAATACATGCTGGCAACATTCAATGCCATTAGCCTCCTTTGGCTGCTCTCAGAAAACCAATTCCCTCTTAATTGGGACAAGTGGTTTCCCAAAAATGTCATATTGAGGAAAGTTTGTATGAGTTAATAGTATAGTGAGATGAAGCATCATTGTTATTTGTATTATTTATTATTGTGAATTTTAGATTTTGTGGTTTTTTAAAATGTCGAGGACTTGAAAGAACCTTTGCTTTTTGAGTTTAGACCCATTCACTGTGTTTAAAAATAAGTCTGGAATATTTTTAAAAACCAGGAATGATCCAACATTTCCTACATTTCATTGGGTGCCAGAGAAGTGACAGATCACATAGTGTACAATCTCTGAAGGTCTCCTGTGTTTGCACACGAGAAACTGGGACTGGAAAGACAGATATTATCTGAATATCATGGTGAAAATAGTTTTGACTTCACAGGGCACCCCCAGTTTCTAGTCCTTAGAGGTTCATTTTAGACTTAATATATAATATGAAGTCTTTAAAAAGACAACACTGGGGTTAGAGAGATAGTAGAGTGGGTGGTGCGCTTGCCTTGCATCCTTGCATGTAGCAATCTGAGCTGATCCTTAGGATCCCATATGGCCCCCTGGGCGACCCTCCTCTCCCTCCTACCCCCCACCAGAGTGATTCCGGAGTACAGAGCCAGGAGGAGCCCTGAGCACTGCCAAGTATGATCCAAAAACCAAAAGGCAAAAATAAAACACTCCCCCCCAAAAAAACAACCAAAAGCCACCATTAAAGTATTAAGGTCGCTGCTTTGGATTTATGAAATCATAAATTTTGTGGAAAAATTAATAGGTATAATATAATAGAAATGATTGTTTATAATAGGAAGTTTTTTTTTCCTCTGGTTTTCGGGCTGGGCTGGAGCGAGAGCACAGCGGGTAAGGCGTTTGCCTCGCAGGCGGCCAACATGGCGGCCAACCCGAGTTCGATTCCTCCGCCCCTCTCGGAGAGCCCGGCAAGCTACTGAGAGTATCTCGCCCGCAGGGCAAAGCCTGGCAAGCCCCCCGTGGCGTATTCGATATGCCAAACACAGTAACAATTGTCACAATGGAGACGTTAATGGGCCCGCTCGAGCAAATCGATGAACAACGGGAGGACAGTGACAGTGACAGTGACAGGTTTTCGGACCATACCCAATAGTGCTCAAGGGTTACTCCTTGCTCTGTGCTCAGTAATTACTCTTGGCATACTTGGGGGTGCATATGGGATGCCGGGGATTGAACCCAGCAAGGCAAATACCCTCCCCACTGTACTATCACTCCACCCCCATAATATGAAAATATCATTGAAGTAATATTGATGTAAAATAATGTAAATACTTAGATGTTGTAGGGATACACACCACCAACCACCAAAATGTCAGTATCCCTTTATCATAAAACCCTTTTCGTTCATTTCCCTGACCCTCTGTTCTGTTCTTAGAATATACAAGTTATTTTTATTAGATAATGTCTATTCCATTTCTTTATATACCACCTACCCATGATCTCATGATATATCTGGTATTTTTCTTTCTCCTTATTTTATTTAATATGTCTCCCACCACTATTGTTACAAAAATGCTTGGATTTTTTATCTTTTTTTGTTTTTTAACATAGTAGTATTCCCATTGTGTATATATGTGTATTATTTATGTACATGTATACATAATATATCATTATACACATATACACATTAATAGTTATATGCATTTATAGACATATGCATAATCATATATACATAATTATATTTACACATGTGTGCATAATTTTACATATGTGTGCATGTGTGTGTATGTGTGTATATAATGACTTCTTTACTCTATCATTGAGCAGTTGGGATGTTTCTAAATCTTGGCTATTGTAAATAGTACTCAATGTTTATGTTTTGTTTTGTTTTTTTAAAAGTGAGGCAGGGTAATTTTTATTGAGCAAAACTTGCTTAGGAAGATGTGGGGGAGAGAAAGAGAGGAAATGTGTTCAAGAGAGAACTCAGGCTTCTCCAGGGTGGAAATAAGTAAGCAAAATAGGACGCTTACCACTGAGTCGGGACTGGGGGAATAGGATAGGGAAGAGAACAGAACAGTAGAACAATTGCAGATTGAAAATGTGCCTGCCACAGAGGTGGGCGGGCTGGGACTGGGTACAGGAAGAAGCTGGGACATTGGAGGGTCAAGGACAGTGGTGAAAGGATTGATGTTGGAACATTGTAGTCCTGAAGCTCAGTCAGGAATATCTTTGCAACTTTGTAATCCACAGTGATTCGATAATAATCACTTGTATCACTTGTCATCCTGTTGCTCATAGATTTGCTTCAGTGGGCACCAGTAACATCTCCATTTGTCCATGTCACATGCTAGCGTAGGCCAGTGGCGTCTGCTCGCTCCAGGAACAAACACAAACTCAAACCGTTTGTTTAGGATCTTGACGAAAAAATCCGACCATCTCATAGGTGGACAGCCAGGTGTTCTTTTGACATCCCATGAAATAATAATTTGCTGGCGCCTGCTCAAGCAAATCGATGAGCAACGGGATATCAAGTGATACAAGTGAATAATAATAATAAAGCCCCCAAATAGCAAACTATAGAAATAAGCAAGATACCTGTGGAAGAAAACTAATAGGCATAATATAGTAGAAATAATTGTTCACAGTAACAGTAACAATTGTTCATAATAGGCAAAACATTTTTTTCTTTGGTTTTGGGACCATAGCTGGAGAATGTGGGTTTGAAGAACAACCCATTCATGTGTGGTGGTCTTTTTGTTTAAGGAATATGAACTTTTATAGGAGTTCTCCCTTTTTCCTCTATCTTGAACTCCCTGGAATTTACCTGTGAATAAGCATTTTTGTAAAAATACGATCTCTAGTACCAACTTTACCTTTGTGTTTATATGTCTGTGTGTAGTCACAATATGTGTCGTTGTTTTATATTCATTTTATCTCTTCTTGAATTATCCCACAGGTCGAAGTAGCTGTGCAAAATGCTCGTCATCGCTGGCTGGAAGAACTGCCGGATCTTGCTGAGTATAAAGCACGAATCAGGGTGGAACAGAAGAAGTGGGAAGAACAGCAGGAGAGTTCTGTAGCAAAAAGGGTAAGTGCTCTCCTGAGTGCAGAGAGAGGTCTGTGGGGCCACTTGGCATCCTTGTCCACTTCATTCAGGAATTTGTGCCTTCCCCCAGTGTTGGTGAACAATTTGTTTCTATAATGCGTATGAATCTTTAGTTCAGAGCCTCAGAGCTAAGGCCTTCCATATGTAAATCTTTAAAATTGAGAATGAGCTATAAAGAAAAAGAAAGGAATTATAGTTCAGTTAGGATGGAGGGTGGATCTCCAAGGTGGAGAATGCCCCTTCCTTGTTGTTACAAAACCAATTATTTATTATTGGAGGACCTGTTCTTACCCAGATATGCATGGAGAGGGCCGGGAAAGCTAGTACTGCCAGTAGGGCGCCATAATGGAAACAAATCCTATTCTGCATTCCCCTATCTTAAGAAGTTGGAAACAGTTCTTTGTCTCTTTGTTATTATACAGTAATATACAGTAATATCCTTCCCTATCTTATACATTGCTCATTAATTATTTAGCATACTTTTCTTTGCAAATAACCAGTTTCTGTGGACCATGCAGTTGAACTAAGCCCTTCCATATGTAAAGTATGGGTTCCAGCCTTTTTCCCCCCCAAGTGAAAACAGTTTAATTTAGAGAAATATGGGGGAGAATGAGGGATGGAGAGAGAACCATGTTCTAGAAAGCCAACTGGCTTCATCAAAGGGGAACACACCAAGAATACACATCTCACAGTGAGATGTGGGCAAAACTTTAAAATTGAGAATGAGCTATAAAGAAAAAGAAAGGAATTATAGCTTGGTTAGGATGGCGTGGAGGGGGTGGATCTCTGAGGAGGAGAGTGCCCCTTACTTGTCTTTACAAAACTAATTTTATAGTAGGGCTTTTTCTAACCTGCCCCTGCTTGGGTAGGCGTTTGTTAGGGTGTTGTCAAGGGAAATTCCTGCTCCAGCCTTTTGGGTCTTCTCCCCACCACCTGTGATTGTGATAGCATAGCCACTTTAGAAAATAATTGTAACATTGCACACAATTGGCACATTGCATTAATAAACTTATTCCACAAGTAAAGAAATAAGTTTAAAGAGATAATGTGACATAAATGTAGAATCTGCTTTAGTAGTTTTGTCAGTTATATGATCGTATGTGAGGTCTATTATCTTATTCTCTACATCTGTTAATATGCTGAAATATTTCAAAGGGAAATTTTAGAGGGAAGGAACAATATGCTGTGTATATGTGCCCCATTGCACAAGTCAAGAATAATAAAGTTGGTTAGAATATACAAAGTAAAATAAATAAGAGAGTTTTCTTAAGATCTTTCTTAAGCTCTTTCTCCTCTTCTTTCCTTACATTCAGGAGGTCTGCATGTGTGCTTGAGAATGCAGACATGTAGAGAGAGTGTTTCCTTTTAAACTGGAGCAGCTGTGAGAGCCACTGGGAGAGCTTGTTGGGTCAGATGCCAGGAATTCTCTTAGAGATTCCATTTTGGGGGCATTTGGAGTGAGTTTTGAGAAGCTGTGTTTCAAACAGGCCCTGTGGCAGTATGACGTCGTGGTCTCTGGCTGTGAGTAGCACTATCCTAGAAGATACCTAGCCAAGTAGTAGCGTGTGTACTCCTTCTTACACACCATAGGTGCTGGGAAAAGAAAAGGATGAGTTTTATACTGATTAACTGGAGAGTTAACTGGAGGCTAGTGCGATCCTTTAGGATCCTAGAAATGTAGAGTCCACAGTCCAGAGTAGGTTGATTCATTGGCTCCCATACTTTGCTACATGTTGGTGATCGAGGATCTTTAATAAAGTTGTATTGCCTGGTTCCGTTCCCATGCCTTGTTTTTATGAATACAGGCTGTGACCTGGGCAAAGAATTTATTTGTGTGTTGTTTTTATAGGTTACACTCGGTGGTACTCAGGGCTTACTTCTGGCTCTGTGCTGAAAGGTCACCACGGGCGAGCAGCAAGCGGCAAGGCAAATAAATACCTTACCCGCTGTATCTTGCTGTAGCCCCAAGGAATTTTTTTTTCCTTTTTGGGTCCCACCCAGCGATGCTCAGGGGTTACTCTTGGCTCTGCACTCAGGAATTACTCCTGGCGGTGCTTGGGGGAATCATATGGGATGCCGGGACCCAACCCAGGTCTGCCGCATACAAGGCAAACGCCTTATCTGCTGTGTACTATGTACTATCACTCCAGCCCCGGAACTTTTTTTTTTGTACTTCTATTATTTTTTCACACGGCTCCCTTTCCCCCACCCCTTTCCCTTCAGGTGAGTTCTGTTATCAATGCCCACAGGATTTAATGAAGAATGAATGAATTAATCGTTATAATTGTCATGATTGTTCTTACAAGGTCTGGGGGTCGGGGCCATCCCTAATGGTCTTAGGAGGCCCAGCAGTACCAGGGACTGAACCAAGGCCTCGCACATGCAGTGCTCATGCTTTGCTTTTGAATCACATCCCCAGTCTAAGTATTTTTTTGGTGTTGTTTTGTTATCCATTTTTATATCTTTATAAAATCCTTTGCTTATCTTTTTCCATCTTTTTTTCACTTCCTATGATTCACTTAAGCTTGTTCCATTTTGTTGTGAGCAGCAACTTTTTTCAACCTGTTTGAAATAGCAGAATAGTATTCCATGAATCAAATGTTCCATGTCATTGTTATTCAGTCATCTGTTGTTTGGACTCTATTGATTAATCACTTTATCCCAGAATGTAGGTAGTGTAAATCGTGCTACCATAAACAATGAGGTGGAGTGTAGCTTTTCTTGTATGTTTTCACGATCAATAGCTAGATCTCCGAAATTGGGATTGCTGCAGGGTATGACAGCTGTCTTGAGGAAGCTCCAGACCTTTTTCCAAAGTGGAAACAGTCTACTGTCCCACCAGCAGTGCATGAAAGTTTTTCTCTACAACCTTTCCAATAGTTGTTGCTGCTTTTGATGTGAGCCATTCTCATAACAGTATAAGTGGTCATCATTTACATTTCCCTGAAGATGAGCATTTTTTTGATCTGACTATTATCTGAATTACTTCTTGGGAGAAATGTTTCGAATTGTCTGCCCACTTTTTGTTGTTATTGTTGAATGGGGTTTTGTTTTTCTTCTTAGCATATGCTTCTTTATATACCTTGTATATTAAACTTTTATCAGATATATGTAGTGCAAGTATCTTGTCATTTATTAGGCTGTCTTTTCAGTCTTTGTTTTATTTTGCTATGAAATGCTTTATAATACAGTTCCAATTGTTTTTCTTTATTTACATTTCTTTTTGCTATTGGGGGTTGAGTGCCCAAAATATTTCTAATGATCATTGTATCACTGTCATCCCGTTGTGCCTCGATTTACACGAGTGGGCGCCAGTAATGTCTCTATTCGTCCCAGCCCTGAGATTTTAGCAGCCTCTCCTTACTCGTCTTTCCCAACAATTGGAAGCTCTTTCACGGTCAGGGGAATGAGACCTGTTATAGTTACTGGTTTTGGCATATTGATATGCCACGGGGAGCTTGCCAGGCTCTGCCCGTGCCTGTGGGATATGCTCAGTAGCTTGCTGGGCTCTCTGAAAGGCATATATATATATATATATATATATATATATATATATATAAGCTTGCCAGGTTCTGCCCATGCTTGCAGGATATGCTCGGTAGCTTTTTGGGCTCTCCGAGAGGCATATATATATATATATATATATATATATATATATATATATTTCTCTCTATAATTTGTTGCCTATTGCCTGATCTCCATCTAACATGGTGTGGTAATGTGGTAATTATGGAAAATGGGTAGGAAGTGTCTTAAGATATGTCCAGAAAGTGGCCTGGAGCATGTCGGTGGTTGGATATTGGAGGTTGGCTGCTGGGCTGGGTCCCTTGGGGTGGGGAGGGCTCTCGCCTGCCCCCCTCTGGGGTGCCCCGAGTGAAAACAGCCTGGCATGGAGTTTTGTGGCATGGTTATGGGGGCCTCATTTTATACTCCCCTCTGGGAGCAACAGCCTGAGTTCTGGAGGGTGGTCTATGAGGAGATTATCTGGTGTGGCTGGTGTGGGTGTGACCCCTGGGTCACTGGAGACCTTGGGAAGCAGGCAGAGGATCTCTGCTGCTGGTCCCATTGAGTCCAGAGTTAAAGGTCACAAAATTCCTCATTACTGCAGTTTCGTGGGACTTCATTCCTGCGTGAGGCTCCGGCCCGAGCGTCCAGAAAGCGGATAATGATAATGCCACTAAATATTTCAATTTTGTTATCTGCTGTGTATTTTATGACATGGGATTTTACATTTAGGCTTTTAATCCATTTTAAATATGTTTTTATATAAGGGTTATAGAGTTAAGTCTAGTTTCATTCTTTGAATGGAACTGTTTAGTTTTCCCACCACCTTTTGAAGAGACTCTTTTTCCATTGTGAGGTCTTAGCCCCTTTGTCATAAATTACATTTTCATAAATGTGTGGTTTTACCTCTGGGCTTTTAAAAATTATTGTTACTTAATAGTATAGTTTGAAATATACCTATTTTATATAGTTTGAAACTATGTTTTTATTTTTCTTTTACTTCCTCAGGATTGCTGTTAGCTATTTGAGGTCTTTTTAATGATTTCATATAAACTTTCGGGTTTTTTTGTTTGTTTCTTTTCCTTAAAAATTACCATTGCAGTGGACATCAAGATTTTTGAAGGACCCACAAGTGATCCTAGTATGTAGTGACATCAAGAACCACTGAGTTGATTAATGCTCTCAAATTCTCCTTATAAAACTTTACATGAGAGGACATGCACTCTCCCTGAGGTTGGGCGGGTCATCTGAATTCCGTGGGATCCACCACCTCCACCAAAATTGCCTCGTAATGAATTCCAGGCTTCTATTGCGACATGCTTTCCCTAAAAGTAATCTTGAAAGATGTTTCAAATCTACTGAATTTTTCTGCTGTCGACAAAAGGGCTAAGCTCTTTTGTTAACAGCAGTGGGTTACTTGAACTAGCTGAATATAGAATTTAGAATTTTTTATTCCTTTATAAATATTCAGCAACACACAAAATAACTAACATGGAGGCCAGAGAGATAGCAGGATGTAAGGAGCTTACGTTGCACTTTAGTAGATTCCATTCAATCCCTGCACCTCCGAGGATCACTCCTGAGTGTACCTTCAGGAGTATCCCCCCAGCACTGCCTGGTTCTGGCCCTGCCTACCCCCAAAAGACCAATAAACACGTATTTTAAAATTTATGTATGTAAATGAAGGTGATTTTTACAATTATAATAATAACTGAAAAATTTGGTAAGCAGATAAGTTATCGGTATTCAGAGCGTATATGTAATGTTGTATAGTATCGAATAATTGTGCTCACCATGGCTATGGCCAGGCTTTGGAGAGGCCCAGTTCAACTTCTGAAACTTATATTCTTAGGTTTTGACTTTACCCAGGGAATAATAGAAATAAAAGGGACTCAAGGTCTTTAACCCAGTCTTTTCTATATAGTTGATGACGCTGAGTGAAAAAGATTGAGTGACTATGGTAAGGCCACACATTCACTACTAGTAATAGCTACATACTATTTGTTCAGCATCTTTGTTATCTACCAGGTTATATGTTTTAATTGGATTATTTCCTTTTGTAATTGAGTACAAATTTTTTTCTATTGAATGGTCATCATGATTATTCCCATTTTATAGAGGAGAAAACTGAGGCTCTAAGAAATAGGTGAATGGGTCTGTGGCCCTGCTGCTGTAAGGTCATTCTAGCAGTCTGTCCAGAACCTGTCCTGTGGAGCACCATGCTGGGCTGCCCTGCACTGTCAGTGACAGTGTTTTAACTGGAGCCGCAGCCCAGTTTCCCTGATTCCTTAATCCTTTTTTGCTTAGGTATTATTATTTTCTATAATCTAGTTCTTTCATTCTGTTGTAAAAGAAAATTGCCTTAATGAAAAAAAAATATTTTGCTATTTGATGTTTTTTTTAATGAACTGAGGTTGCATTAAAATGCTATGGCCATATTTAATAAGTATTCAGGGGTCTGTAATATTTCTCAGTAAGATTCCCATGTGAGGCTGGTTTTGCTTCCTGTAAAAGATGCTTAATTTCAAGGGGACTGCGGTAAAATTAAAATCACATCTGTATTGAAAAATTCTATGAATTTCTTCACTGAAATTAGCACTGGCTATCTATATATACTTCGGTTAGTTTAAATTTCTAGTTCTCCATTTAAAAATGAATGCTTTTAAACAAGACATAAATTATTAGGTGCTTTAAAGCAAAAATGATCCTTTAGTTTTGTTTAAGTGTATGTTAAGAATAATGTCTTATTTGACTTATGGTCCCTTATTAAATTTAGAGATTAACCCAAATAGTTGCCTTATTATTTTGTTGTTGTGGATAATAATAAAGGCCTTTAATTATACATCTGATATCCTTTAGATGTTGTTGGCTATTTCTGAAGCTAAAGAGAAGTGGAAAAGTGAACTTGAAAATATGAAGAAAAATGTACTATCTGGAAAGGAACTGGAAGAGAAGATTGAGTCTCTACAGAGGGAACTTGAGTTAAAGAACAAGGAGACCCCAGTGGTTATCAGAGCGGAGCTGGCGAAGGCCCGGAGTGAGTGGAACAAAGAAAAGCAAGAAGAAATCCAAAAACTCCAAGAACAGAATGAGCAAGATTTCCGACAGTTTTTAGATGATCATCGAAATAAAATAAATGAAGTGCTTGCGGCAGCTAAAGAAGACTTCATGAAACAAAAAACGGAGTTGCTTCTTCAGAAGGAGACAGAGTTACAAGCTTGTCTAGACCAGAGCCGTAGAGAATGGGCTATGCAGGAGGCCAGGCGGATCCAGCTAGAAATCTATCAGTATGAGGAGGACATCCTCACTATACTAGATTTCCTCCTGAAGGATACACAGAAGGAGTTTGACAGTGACTTGGAGAACATGCAACTTTTGGATCTTATGTCAAAGTGCTCATCAAAATGGATATCTGCACAATATTTTGAAAAACTCAAGACCTGTGTGCAGCAAGCGTTTCAAGACATGCTCGCCGCAATAGAAAATGCTAGCTCAGAATGTGAAAAGGTGTGTTTCTCGGGAGGGAAAAGAACTATGAACCTCAAAAATGATTGTGGAAACCTGTGGGATCTTAGAAGAAAAAAGTCGGGGATTTCCTTCCCCCCACTTCCTTTTCTTGTGTTTTGTACTTTAAAGTAAGACTTAATGTTCCTACTGGTGGCCTAAAGGTTTTTCTAGGGGCTAGAAGATAGCTCAGAAGGCTCAGCACGCTTTGTATGTGGGAGGCCCAGGTTCAATCTCCAGCACCTTGTGGATTTCCCCAAACTCTCTCACCCCCAAGTTCTGTGCTAGGAATAGCCCCTAGCACTGCAGGGTGTAGTTTTTCACAAAACAAAACAAAAAACTTTTCTAAAGGTTCGTATATTTATTTATTCTTTTACCTCCAAGTTTTTGCTTTTTTTAAAAAAAATACTTATTTTTATAAAGTTGCTCATGATGATTTATTACATTCAGTATTCCAATACCAGTCCCACCACCATTGCACCTTCCTACCATCATTATTCCCAATTTATTTTATACTGCATTTGGAATAATTTTTTATATTGCTTATTATGAATAATTCTCTAAAAGTGATCAAGCAAGTTTTCCTTAGAAAAAAAGTGTGTGAAAATTGTTGTATCTCACCATGGAGCCATTAAGCCCTTGTATAAGAGATTATGAACACGTTATTATAGGTTAAGCCTTGTTTGTTAATATTTTCTTAATTGAGATTGATTGCCCTCTACATTACATCCCATCCAATGTGGTGTGCTACTCCTGATGTATCAATGGTGTAGATATGCTCCAGAAATTCTAAAATTTTGAATGGGGTGATACAGCTTGAGTTAAATTTTTAACTGGATGGTGACTTTGGAGTCCAAAGCATCTTTGCAGATCATCTTTGCAGTTGATCTCTTTTGAGATTTAGAGTCTATGGATCATGACTGGTTAAGGAGCTTATTTGGCGCCAGAGGCAGATGAATTTTTGGATGAGGCCTTGAGCGTGGTGGTGATTATGGAGTATGGAGGTTTAAAGCTGCGGGGATTCTGGGTGGATGATGGGCTCACCCCACACCCCACCTGCTTCTGGGGTGTCCAGAATGAGACTCAGTCTGGCGCAGGGTCTGAAATCATCTCTGCAACTTTTTGATCTTTGTTGAGATTTATTTATGAATCAATAGTTTTACTTTTTTGGCTAGAAAGATAGTACAGTGGAATATGGTGCTTACCTTGCATGTAGCCAACTGGATTCTATCCCTGACTCTCTATATGGTCCCCTGAGCCCTGCCAGGAGTGTTCTCTGAGCACAGAGCCAGGAGTATGCCCAGAACATTTCCAGGTATTGCCCCAAAACCAATAAAAAAAATTAAAAACTTTTTAAATAGTGCATAAGTATGAGGCAGAGCATTTAGCTCTTAGAGAGATTTTCTTTTTCTTAACATAATATGTAGTTCTTTGTAAAGGCCTGGGATTTTAGAAAATAACTCTTATTTCTATTTTTGTTTTTTGGGTATGACTACTTTTAGAAATATGCATTGCTTTAACTAGGGTTTCTTAGAAGCTTCTTAACTAGTTTGGAAGTCTTAATTCTTGCCCTTGAAGAATTTGTATTTCATGTTGGCAAAATCTGCCAACCAAATAGAAAGAATGCTGAGGTATAAATAAGCAAATAGAGCTGCGGCTCACTTTCACAAAGTCCTGAAACCTGGTCTTTTTTGCTATGCTGTATTTGTGCTCATAGAATAAATTGTATTCTTTTACTGTATAAGCATTCCCTGACACTTGCTTTTACTTTACTTGGAAGATCTGCTAAAACCAAAGTTTTGCACTCTTAAAATTAAATAAGTTAGGTCTTTAGGTCTGATTAAAAAAAAAAAACTAGAAGTGATTTAGCTAGACCTGGAGATGAGCTAGATTTGTTTGTTTGTTTTTTGCTTTTTGGGTCACACCCAGCGATGCACCTGGCTCATGCACTCAGGAATTACTCTTGCAGTGCTCAGGGGACCATATGGGATGCTGGGAATCCAACCCGGGTCAACCTCATGCAAGGCAAATGTCCTACCCTTTGTGCTATTGCTCCAGCCCCGAGATAAGCTAGTTTTAACGGACTTAGTATCAGATTCTAATTTGGAATTGGGTGGGACAAAATGTCAATATTATGAGGTTTGTCTGATAGATATTTGAAACAAAAGACTTAGGGTTCTTTATGGTGCTATGATTAAAGATTTTCATGACCAGGATTGGAGCATTTGGTGCCCATACCTAATGATAACTATTATTATGCTAATAACTATTATATTACTAAACTAGTGAAAAAAATTGAGTTTCTCTTCTATACTTGGAACTTCCTAGAATTTATGATTTCATAGATATATCGTCAGTTGCTGGTTGAAAAACAAAAATAGCTGGCCTGGAACCAGAGCCAGAAGTACAGAAGGTGGTTAGGCTGCTTGCGTTGCATGTGGCCAACTGAGATTTGATCCCTGGCACCCCAGATAGTTTCCCAAGTTCCCCAAGGAGTGATTCCCTCCCCCCCACACCAGTGCAGAGCCAGGAGTAAGCCCTGAGCACTGTTGGTTCTAACCCCCCAAAGCAAGCAAATAAATAACAGATCACTGGCCTAATTCCTTGACTTTTGGTAAGATACACATGAAAAAGCTTCCTTTGTATCGCTGGTCTTTGAAATGAAATGGAAATTTAGAGCTGAAGGAATCTGAAAGACGCAGTGACATAATTTTTGTCTTCATTTCTAAGCTTTTGCTATAACAATAGGTAATCTCAGTGATTCAAGTCTACTGAGTACTGCTTATAAGGCTTATAATACTTATTATAGTATTTATAATTTGTATAAGACCGTTTGTGTGACTTAATGTGACTTACACTTCTGTGAAGAAGGAGTCAGATAATTTGGCTAAGAGTCTAAGAACTTTTGTGACTTGTTGGATCAGATTTCATTCCTAAGAAAAGGGTGGCTTTAAAGTGCCTAATCTGGCATTTGTCAGAGTAATTACTTGATTTCTGCTGTTTTAGTGCCAACTAAGCTCCAAATATGAGGGCAGAGAAAGATTATGACTTGGTTATAAAAGGTTCATAAATATGAACTATAATTTAAAATTTATTAAATTTATAGCTTTTAAGACTTAATGCAAATTTACATAAGAAAGTTTTCAGAACATATAAACTGTGCTCTTATTAAAATAACTTAGATAGTGATCAAAAGTTTTATTAGATGGCTAGGATACAGCTAAAAGTATTCCTAAAAACCAAATGCTGTTTAAAATACTTTAATATGACAATTCATAACGAATAAAAGAAAACAGAAATATTGATTGAAACAAAATTTTCAAGCAAACCTCAGATGCACATTCTCTTTACCAAAATGTCAAGTTAAAACTAACTTGCAACTTTCCTGCCAGTTTTGGTTATGCTGACTTTGTCCTGTTTTGAGTAGAAACCCAAACATGGACTGACTTTGGGTTCAGCTTTATTATTCCTTAACTAGTCCTGTTGATTGCTTGGAGCTTGTACTTTTCCTGTATCTGCTGACCTCTGCTTTAGTTGGTCATCATCTGATTTTCTGAGAGTGTCTCAGAGTCAAAATCGAGGCTTCCAGAATCAAGTATCTAGATTTGTTTTAAGTAATTCAACAAGATTTTCAACAAGAAAGATTTTTCAAGATCACTTGTTTTGTTCTTTTGAGATTTAGTAGTTTTTAAAATGTAAAAGTACTACCTGAAGGCATTGCTTACTATCAGTAAATTTAGTAGCTGTATTACCTCTATTAGGGAATAGCTACCAATAAATATTAGTGAAATAATGGACTTGTGCAAAACCCTCAATTTTTCTAATATTGGAATTTAACTAGCATGCCTTACAAAATAACTGTATATTAAAATAATAGCAGTCTATAATATATCACGTTCATTAAAAGCCTTTCTTTCCTTTTAACTGTTGTTATGATTCATGAAAAGCAAATATTTGGCATTAGTTTCTAATGAGTTTTGGTCCCCTGCTATCGTAGAAGTGTCCTGGATTTTCAGAAGAATTCTAACTTTATATAATCTCTTTTGTGGTTTGACTATGTAAGCCACTAAAATAGTTTAAATTTATTTACACCCATAAGATATGTTGTATGTAAAAGATGTATTTCCTATCTTTCATTGCCAGCCCATCTTGGCTTTTGTCAGATAAGGTTCTAATTTGGAAAATATAAGATACTCAAACTTAGATATGGCAGTATTTGCATGACATCTTATGAAAGATAACGGTGCTTGTTTAAGTGGGAAGTTTTTTGGATGGAGTGGATGGCTTGGATTTGGGACAATATCCAGTGGTGCCAAGGGGTCAATCCTAGTGATACTTGGGGGACTTTGTGTTATTAGGGATTGAACTGGGGTTGGCCCCAATACAAGGCAAGCACCTTAACTCCTTTACTGTCTCTAGACAGCAGTTTTTAAGGCATTGTTTCCTTCTTGTATTTTTAACCATTAACATTTCAAGTAGAGAATTGCATGGAGACTTTTGCTAGCCATTAACTATGGAGATAATCTATTTCAGACAAATAAGATCACTGGGGTCACTGACTCAGGAGACCCTGGAGTACTGGCAGGACATCCTGCACCTACATCTGAACACTGCGCTCAGCCCTTGGACTTGCAAGACACAATCGTCGAACATGGTAATGCAGTTTTTTCCTACTGGTATTTGTAACACCCACAGTAATGTTTCCAGAGGGTTGCTGTGAGCATAAAAGATGTGTACAGTGTTTTAGAATGAGCAAATAAGTAATGTTATTGCCATGTAATATGTGTCCTCTCCTTCTGATTTCATTTTAATTTTTGAAGAGAGGACTGATTTATGTCCTTTTTTATCTTTCAAATGACCTTCCTTCTCTTCATAATGATTCTGGTAGTAGTATGGTTGGTGACTTATGGGAAAACGGAGCAAGAATTGATGTGGAAGAGGGGCTAAGGTTCTGATAGTCCTTAAACATTAGCACTATCTTCCGGTTCATCCATCTGCTCTAGCAGGCACCAGTAACGTCTCCATTGTGAGACTTGTTACTACTGTTTTTGGCATATTGAATATACCACAGGGAGCTTGCCAGGCTCTGTTGTGCGGACGGGATACTCTCAGTAGCTTGCCGGGCTCTCCAAGAGGGACGGAGAATTGAACCCGGGTTGGCTGTGTGCAAGGCAAAATGCCCTACCCGCTATGCTATCACTCCTGCCCACTCTTAAACATTATTATGAGGAATTTACTTTTTTATTATTATTTTTTTCCTTTTTGGGTCACACCCGGCAATGCACAGGGGTTACTCCTGGCTTTTGCACTCAGGAATTACTCCTGGCGGTGCTCAGGGGACCATATAGGATGTTGGGAATCGAACTTGGGCCAGCCTTGTGCAAGGCAAACCCCATACCTGCTGTACTATAGCTCCAACCCCAGGAATTTACTTTTGAGAGTCCCACTTCTATGGTGAAATGAGTTTATATTGTAATTAGAACTCTTGCATAATAATTATAAACCATAAAATAAATAAGAATCAAAAGTTCAGATTTCTAAAGGCGCTGGAGCATGTATTAATGCATAGCTATTTTTGAAAAGTATAGCAAGACTTAGTGGTCCAGTGGGGTTTCCGTTATACAGTCTCTAGCCTGTGGGCAGGATACCTGTAGCAGAGTGGGTAAAAACTGGATTGCAAACTTGACATCTTCCTATACTTTAAAATACAGAAGAAAGTTTGAGACAAATAAAGCAACTGTAAATTTCCGGTAGCATTTGTTATCAGAAAGCCTAAAGAGTAAAGGGTGATGGAAAGGTTAGAAAACAATTTGTAGGTAAGTAATGTCTGAATATCTTAAGTCCTCTAAATTGCACAAGTATGTGTCAAAGTAAAGCATACTAATGAGGAAATAAAAGAATTGAGAATAAATTTCAGCTGCTACCTAAGATTTTGTACAGTGTAAATCTTACTGAGTGAATCCGAAAATAAGAGAAACCAAAAGGAATATTTTCTCAGAGGAATCAAAAAAAAAAATCCAGAGACCAAATCCAAATCCAGAGATCAAATCCAAATCCAAAAATTAGGCATATCAAATATCTGGTATACAATCTAAAATTATTCAACAAAGTAATTTTTGGCAATATTCTCAGAAGAAATCAATATAGATCAACCCTGATTTGAGCCAAATGTTGAGCTGAGCAAAATAATACCAAGTGTCTATAATAATAACATCAGATAATGTAGTTGAAGAAGTGATAATGTAGTTGAAGAAGTGATAATTTAATGAAATGAATGATCCTGTAAATGAAGAAACAGGCTGGACCAGAAAGATCAAGCAAATAAAAATGAGCAAAAAAAATGCGAAAGAAGAACTTACTCGTTATGTTTCTGGAAGGACCAGTATTATGGTTGGTGAGTTATGGGAATCATTTAAAAGAAACTAAAGATTTTGAAACAATACAATTTCTGCTTAAAACTTAACAGGAAGGAGATGTCAAGGAAAGAATCAGTAAACTTGAAAAATATCCTCATTATTGTTTTCTTTCTCCTTCCACAATTTTTTTAAAGGTATCTTATTACTTTTAGTTCATCACTTTTTTTTTTTGGCTCTTTGGGTCACACCCAACCATGCACAGGGGATACTCCTGGCTTTGCACTCAGGAATTACTCCTGGCAGGTCTCAGAGGACTTTATGGGATGCTGGGAATTGAACCCGGGTTGGCCGCGTGCAAGGCAAATGCCCTACCTACTGTGCTACCGCTCCAGCCTCATCACTTTTCCTTTTACAGATGTCCCTTAGAGGGGAGTTGCAGTTCAGTGATAATGGAGTCCCTTGGCTATTGTTTGAAAAACTCAAATCCTCCTTCACAAATATTTTGGGATTGTTTGGGATTGAGATCTTTTCCATCCATTATTTTGTATTCTTCTGACTTGTGGAATTTTGTACTCTTCTCTCTATGGTTCCCTTCTATGTGACTCTTTGCTTGTGACTTTGATTCATTTTCTTTTTTTTTTTTTTTCCCCTTTTGGGTCCACCTGGCAATGCTCAGGGGTTACCCCTGACTCTGCACTCAGGAATTACCTCTGGTGCTGTTCAGAAGAACATATGGGATGCCGGGGATCAAACCTGGGTCAGCCGCATGCAAGAAAAATGCTCTAACCACTGTACTATTGCTCCAGCCCAACTTTGATTCTTCTTTTAGAGATTCGCTCTTTATCTTTGATTCTAAATGCAATCATCTTCCATTTAAATTATAATGTGTCCAGTTGTGCATTTGCTTTGGTTTAGTTTGGTTTTTGAGATCTCCAAAATTGGGAATCTAAATTCTTTCTCTGCTTAGGGTAGCTATCAGCTGTTATTTTTTCATATAAGATTTCTGCCACTTTCTCTCTCCTGCTTTGGGAATTCCTGTGACTATTTTTTTTCCAGGTCATACCTGGCAGTGTTCAGTGTTCACTCCTGGACCACTGAACATGGGTCTCCCATACATGAAGCAAGCTCTCAATCTTTTGAGTTATCTCTTTAACTCTATTAATTTTTTCCCCTTAACTTCATCTTCTATAATCTGTAGCTCTCCAGCTTTTATTTGGACTTTTCTTAATTTCTCTTGTCCTTTTTCTCTTTGTTGACGTTATCTTTCATTGATCTTATTTTAGTAAGCATCACTAGGAGTGTTACTTTGAAATCTTCTTAGTAGCTTGCGTAGCTCTGCTATGTAAGGCATTCTTCCCAGGATATTATGAGTTCATCATGTGGGTGACTTATTCCCTTTCTTCATTGTCTGGTACTCCCTATGGCCATGGGTGGAAGCTAAACATCCTTTTGTTGATTTGGGCAATGACCAGGGTTTCAAGATGGCAAAAGTGTGGAGACACCAGTGTGCCAACTTTGAAGGGACAGCAGTCAGGTTCAAGATCACCAGTGCTACCTCAGTTGTGCAGAACTTCTGTGTAACTGGGGAGCTTCCAGTGGGGTGGATGTAAGATGAGGCTGGGGTCTTCATGCCTGTTGATGTCAGAGTGTGTACTCTAGGGGTGGTGGGAAGCAGAAGCTGACTAGTTCTTAAGGTCTTTAGTATGAAAAGTGAGGTTTAGTATGTTGTCCACCAGCATGATAGCAGCAAGGTTTCAAGAATTCTGGCACCTGCAAGTGCCCCAGACTCCTGTTTATGCTCTCTAGATTCATGCATCTTACTCCAATATTGTGTAGGATGATAGGCTTGTCATGCTGGGTGTTTGGTGCAGTTTCCCTGTGTCCACTCCCCAGAATAAAGTTCACCACCTTGGAAATCTCTTTATAGTTGTAGCTTGTTGACCTGTGATGAGGGTTCATCCACCCTGAGTGGCGTTTCTGTCTTTAATCCATCTGGGTACCTTCTTTTCCAAAGATTTTATTTTTTAAATTTAATTTATTTTTTTCTTTTTTGTTCACACCTAGGCACACTCAGGGCCGATTCCTGGTTCTTTTCTAATATTTTAACATATTTTCATTTCACAAATTCTGTATATTACCAATAGTAATAGCTATTATTATGTATTTGCCTAACAGTTTTTATACATTTATAAATTTTTTTCAAATTTAAGATAATTTAAAATTTACTAAAAAGTTACAAAAGTAAAAACAGCCTCAAAGAATATTTATATATACCATTTACTTCCATACGGTATCACTGTATCACTGTCATCCTGTTGTTCGTCGATTTCCTCGAGCAGGCACCAGTAACCTCTCCTTCGTCCTAATCCTGATATTTTAGAAAGTGCCACATTCGAGGCTCTTTCAGGGTCAGGAGAATAAGATCCATCATTGTTACTGGTTTTTGGCATATTGAATATGCCACGGGGAGTTGCCAGACTCTGCTGTGTGGGCAGGATACTTTTGGTAGCCTGCCAGGTTCTCCAGAATAAGAACTAGATAATAAGATGTTGCGCAGCCACAAAAGCGGCCGCACGGTTCCGGAAGCTGGGTTTTATAGTCTCTGGGTCTTGGCCGTTGATGGGATTACATGGCGCCGGGGGCAGTTGGTGGTGTAACACCTACATACTGGAAGATGGGGGACCTGGGTGCAGGAGGACCAGCCCCAATCCAAGCAGGCTTGGAGATCTACACCCCTTGTCTCGCACACTTGGGTTCCTCTGCCGGTTCCTTCATACGTGAGGCTTGTCCGAACGTGTGGAGAGTGGTCTTAAGCATGGCTGTGGCTGGAACCAGAGGTCTTCAGCTGCCGAAGCTCTGCTCGGGGTGGGGAGGGAAACTCAACCCACCTTCCTCCAAGGCACCCCGGTGAGGACAGGCAGGCTCAGAGGCAGGAGACTCTGAGCTTCCATACAGTATTGATAACATTATACCTTGGTATTATTTGATTTAGTTAAGAAAAAAATCTTGGAGGCGGGAGCGGCAGGGACCTCATGGGAAGGGGGGCTTTGTGGGCCGTCCCCCACGCCCCACCGAGGTCGCCAGCTGCCCCCCACGAGCGGCTCTCCGGCACGGCCACGACTCCAGGGCACAGAAACCAATCTCTTAACTAGCTAACTTTTAATAGAAATTCTTCCAGGGTCAATAAGTAAAATAGCAGAAATTCAAAACCGCGCGGCCGCTATCGCGGACATCATTTTATTCTTAAACCAAGTTGTAGAAAGCAAATCATTTCACAACGCTGTTTCAGCATGTCTGATTGTGGGGGGTGGGTCGTAAACTCTAAACAATAATTGTGCATCTTCTATCGAAATAATCTATCTAGTCAAAGTAGATAGAGTATTAACTAGAACTCATCTGCCTCACAAGAATTGGGAGGGGTGGGAGGTGGGGGTCTATTGGGGTTCGGGGTTAAAAATGAGTATTGGTAAAGGGAAATGTGTTTGGTATCTACATGACTGAGACCTAAACCCGAAAGCTCTGTAACTTTTCCCACAGTGATTCAATAAATAAATAAATTATAAAAAAAAAAAAAAGAAAAAAATCTTGGGGCTGGAGTGATAGTACAGTGGGTAGGGCGTTTGCCTTGCATGCAGCTGACCTGGGTTTGATTCCCAGCATCCCATATGGTCCCCTGAGCACCACCAGGACTAATTCCTGAATGCAGAGCCAGGAATAACCTCTGTGCATGGCCGGGTGAGACCCAAAAAGAAAAAAAAAATCTCCCTTCCAATTTTAATTTAGATATTGTGATTTGGTGACACTGTTAATAATAAGTAGAAAAAGAGAAACACTTGGATTTAATAAGTTTAATAAGTATATGAAAATATGTTTTTATTAGAAATTTGAGAAAATGATTAAAATAATATTAACAATTTAAATCTAGTAATAATGTTGATAAAAAGTTGAAAATTGGAAATATTTATATCAATAAACACCTATAAAGAGTCTAAAGTAAAAAAAATACTGTGGTCTTACAAAGACATAGAACAATAATTGGTATATCACATATTACTGATAAGATAGGATAGTATACACTTACCCTAGGAAACAGTTTCTTTGTGAAGTTAAAGATGTATTAACTGTATTTTTTAAAAAATTAAAAAAAAAAATTTTATTAGTGAAACACCATGAGGTTCAGTTGTAGACTTACAAATTTTTGTGCTTGGGTTTTGATTATACAATGATCAAATACCCATCCCTCCACCAGTGCCCATTTCCCACCACCACGGATCCCAGTATCCCTCCCACCCCCCATCCCCCCATCCCACCCTGCCTCTGTGGCGGGAAGGCCCCTTTTGTTCTCTCTCTCTTATTGGGTGTTGTGGTTTGCAAAAGAGGCAATGGTTGGCAATCATGTTTGGTCTATAGTCTACTTTCAGCATGCTTCTCCCATCCTGGGAGGATCCTCCCAACACCTTTATTTGGTGTTCCTGTCTCTCTCTGAGCTCCCTTTTCCCCTAGCATGTGTGGTTGGCCTCCAAGCCATGGAGTAAAATTCCTGGTACTAATCTCGGCCATTCTTGGGTGTTAGTCTCCTATTTTCTTACTTTATGTTCCCCAGATGAATGCAATCTTTCTATGTCTATCCCTTTCTTTCTGACTCATTTCACTTAGCATTCTTTCCATATTAACTGTATTATCTTGTTCCTGGGCTGGAGTGATAGCACAGCTGGTAGGACGTTTGCCTTGCACATGGCCAACCTGGGTTTGATTCCTCTGTCCCTCTCGGAGAGCCCAGCCAGCTATTGAGAGTATCCTGCTCACACAGCAGAGCCTGGCAAGCTCCCCGTGGCGTATTCGATATGCCAAAAACAGTAACAACGAGTCTCACAATGGAGACGTTACTGGTGCCCGCTCGAGCAAATCGATGAACGATGGGAGGACTGTGCTACTGGGCTATCTCGCTATCTTGCTCCTGGGTATTTATGGAAGAGAAATGAAAACTATATTTACTCATGTACAGGAGGTTTGTATGTGAAGCTTTATAGTTTTTTGCAACTGCCCAAAACTAGAAAAATATCCTTTAGTGAATGAATAAGCTGTGGTACATCCATACAATATAATGCTACTTAATAATGAAAAAGAACGCAATGGAATTATTGATATGTGCAACAACTTGGGACAGTCTCAAAGACATCTGAAAGGAAGCCAGCCTCCTAAGGTTTGTATTCTAATTTTGTAATTTGAGCCATTAATACCTTTTGGCATTTTTTTCCCCACTCCCTTGTAGAACTCTTTTGGTTTCAGGTGTTATGTTTAGTCATCTTGTCTCTTTAGTATCTTTAAATCTAGGATATTTCCATTTCCTTTCCTGGTCCATTGTGGCATTGATATTTCTGAGAGACATTTTCTGCAATACCTTGCACCCTTCCCTGACGTTTAATGGAATGTTCCTCGTTTAGGGTTGGTTTGACATTTCTTCATGATTAAATTCTGGTTGTGTTCTTTCTTTTTGCCTGGAACATAGCATGTGCTATATCACATCTGGAAGGCTGACCAAGCCCATGGTCTTTTATTGGTGAGGCTCCTAAACCCTCCTTGATTTTCCTGAGTCTGGATTATATTTGTATACTTTTGGTCATGGCATGTCCAGTTCCTTCACCACATAATTATTGGGTTTCCCCCTCCTCTTGCAACTATAAACAGTCTGTGGGGAGAAACTTTCAAGATCATGAAAATATTTTTCTTCTCATTAAAACTTTCTTCTAGATTTAGCCTCATTGATGGTGTTTGCCTGATACAGTTTTTACAACTTGGTGGCAGCAAAATTATAATTTATTTCTACTCTTGACCTACAATCTACTTTTAGCGACTAGCATTTGGTATGTTATAATTGAGAATTCTCCTCTCATTTGTCTATGGTAGTAATTATCTAGTTATGCCTGGCTATCTAAATCTCTATCTACCATCCATCCATCTGTCTATTTTTACTAGAATTATTGATGTGACTCACAAATTTTCTTTTTTCGTACTATTTTATAATTTATACTAGCTAGTATTTTGTAATTCTTTATTATGTTATATTGTCTCAGATTTAGCTATTTCACTCCAACTCTTATATGCTTGTAATAGCCCATATTTCGAGTCATCTCTTATTTTCTGGAACAGGAAAATATCCAGTCTCATCTTCCGATATACCTTGTCCCAATACTGAAATCATCCATTTCTTGAGGATCGTTGGTTCCTCTTGGTGGGAATGGTATTCAGTACTAAGTCCTGAGCATGAGGTTTCCTAGCAGTTTTCAAGATGCATAGTATTATTCAGTGGTACACGTGGCGTAAGTCTCAGAGAGGATGTATAATCCACTGAATCACACAGTCAGAACTAGGGCTTAGATTTAGATTGTTCTCTTTGAAGCATCATGCATCTTTCTGTTAGATTCTACCCTTTAGTCATGTCCCTTGGTTTTCCTTCCCCCTTTCGGGGAAGGATGGGTGTGGTCATTCTTAGCCAAAATTGATTAAAAAAAAGTTTGCTATTATTTAATTTTTGCAGATAAGGTCCTTGAAATTAAAGATCCATGCTGTGAACACTGCTTCCAAGAACTTGGAAAGGCAAAGCTGGAATGTCAAGATCTGAAAAGAAAACTGGAGAAATGCTGTAGGCATCTTCAGCACTTAGAAAGGAAACACAAAACTGTAGTGGAAAAAATTGGAGGTTAGCATTTACAGTCGCATTGCTACCAGGATTAGTCTCCTTGAGCTTGACTGAAATGTTCAAATGTGGTGGTTTTTTTTTCCCTTTTAAGTTAATATAGGCATTGATTCTCATACGGGGATTGATATGAAATTATTTGGACTATTTTTAACCAAATTAATGCTGAACTCAGAAGGGTTACTTGAACTCTAGTAAAAAGGTCACATTTGATTGGCTACTGTTTTAAGCAGTATTCCAGTCGTTGGAGAGAGACCACTGGAGTCATGTAGGACTCAATACCCCGAGGGCTAAAAATAGACGAATAATTGTATCTTTGTGTGCTGTTGGTAGGAAAAAGTATTAATGAACTCTTCTTCCAGTAAGAGTTGAGAAAAGTTTAGCCAAGTCTTTGCTAAAGAGAGCAGTATTCTAGCAAAGAGGGAAGACAAGGCATATGGGTCGGGTCTAAACTTCCGGTTTGTTCTTCATGGACCTTATGCCATTTCTCCTTGCCCTTTAAGAAAGGAAGCTGTTGTGCTTAGTTGTTTTGTTTTGTTTTGTTTTTGTTTTGGCTCAGACCTTGAGTGCTCAGAGGTTAATCCTGGCTCTGCACTCCTGGTTGGTTTGAGGTGCCAGGGATTGAACTTGGGCTAGCTGTGTGCAAGGCAAGTGTCCCACCTACTCTGCTGTCACTTCACCCTGCTACTGTTCCTGAGGCCCACTCTTCCCATTCTCTTTTCACTTAGTCCCCGTATTCTGTACACGATGCATTAGAAATACTCAATTCCTGAGTCAGTCAGGAAGTTTACTGCTGGGCGTTACCTACAGTATTATCACTTGCTGCTATTCTTTGCCCTCTTGTTCTTTCTTTAGCCTAGTTCTTCCTTATCCTTTAGGGTTCACCTGAGGAACTCTGGAGCCTTCCTTGTTTTTCCTGAGTCTGGATTCTATTGGCCATTGCTGTGTGTCCATGGAGCACTGAACTAGTCTGTTACCATCTGTATTTATTTTTCACTTGTTTAATATCCTCTCCAACCAATTAGATCCCTCAGAATAAGGAATAGTTTTTATTCTTATGGTCATGGTACCCCCTACACACCAGCAGTAATAAAGGCTTGAATGAAGAAAAGAATACCCCCACATTGGAAAAAATCCCTAGTAATTATATCATTAGAGGGGTCCTGATAATTGGGCTTATTGTCATCTGCCCCCTTCCCACATTTACCTCCTTCACTTGCCTGGATAGCATGTTGCCTCCTGAGTCATTCTGCTTCTAGTCTTGCTGCTTTGATCCTTTCTCCAAAGGGCATCTACAGTGACCTTTTCCAAAACGTAAATTGAACCATGATAGTCTTGACAAAAACCCTTCACTTTTGAGTGACTGACAAGTCAGTGTGAAATATAAACACTTCATTTTACATTGTTGTCAAAGCCCTTCTAGCCTTTTGGCTGGGTCTCCTCACCCTGCCCTCTCAGAAGAGTCCAGGATGGGTATCACTGCTTCTTTCTCTGCACGTCTTTCATGTTCTGCTAAACTAAGACCTTTCTTCTTTTCTAAATTGAAATGACAAGGGCAGTTAGATACACAATATTTATAAACTGTAATTCATAACACCTTGCACCACATCCTGCTTTTTTGAGGCTCTTATGTAAATAATCCAGGAGAGTTAGTACTTAGTTCAAAATAGCTGCTAATGAAGAGGTAAGAGTGTGAATGGGCGTCATTTGATAATGTGATTTCATTTCCCTCAATTATAAATCTATTAAGTGATAATATTTTTATATGGCTACTGCTAAAATTCCATCTTCCATGATCTGGGTAGCATATTAAAGATATGAATGACTCGTTTTAAAATGTATGGATTAGGAGTGGAGAGATAGTACAGGGGTTAAGGCACTTGCTTTTTTTTTTTCCTTTTTGGGTCACACCTGGTGATGCACAGGGGTTATACCTGGCTCTGTACTCAGGAATAAGTCCTGGCGGTACTCAGGGGACCATATGGGATGCTGGGAATCGAACCTGGGTCAGCCGCATGCAAGGCAAACGCCCTACCCGCTGTGCTATCACTCTAGTCCCCGGCAGTTGCATTTTATGTGACTGACCCAGGTTTGATCTCCTGGCACTGTATCTGGTCCCTGGAACACTGCTAAGTGCCCCTTAGCACTCACAGAGTATAGCCCAAAACCCCACAAAATGTACAGCTTGTATTAAGCATTGGTATTGTAAAAGATGCTGTTCATTAACTTCTTAATTTTATTAAAATCTTCAAGGTAGGAAAAAGTTATCCCCATTTAGCAAGTTCAGTAATTTGCCTAAGCTCACCCAACTGGTAGAAAGCAGAGTTAAGGTTTAAACCTATGTCCTTCTCAGTCAGAATTCCTGCTTTGGCCTGTATATCACATGGATTTTATTAGTCTCCTCATCCTTTCTAAAAACTCAAGGAATTGAAGATCTTATATTAATTCTGAAAATGGCAGCTGCTTCAGCTTTATGTTTCCTTTCCTATAGAGATACTCACTCAATGTGACTAATCTGAGCCTAGAGAGTACAGTGGGGTCCACAGAAAATCTGAAATTAGAAAACCTACTATATTTCTTTATAGAGTTCCAGTTCTAGGTGGAAAATTCATGCATAGGAAACAACTTGTAGCCTATCCCAGGGTAGTTCCTAACCCAGAGCAAAATGGCGGTTGGATACAGATTTGACAGGGTGTTTCTGTCAAGAGGGAGCGACTGGAAATGATTCCATCTCCTCTATAAATATTTGTGTTGGGAACAGAATGGAAAGAAAGACTGAGGGAAAAAAGTAGATTACCAATAAAATACCAACTTTCCCTCTTAGAAGAGAATGGTAAATTTGTTGAAGAATTAATAGAAGAAAACAATGGCATGAAGAATAAATTGGAGGAACTGCAAGAACTTTGTCATGTACCACCAAGGTAGGGTGTTTATTTTTTTTTTTAAGAAATTGCTTATTTTTCCTTGGCGTTAGTTTACAAAACTGAAATGACCAAGCAGGTGGGAAGGGAGAGGGGAGAATAAAGAGATGGACTAGAAATGGCATAAGGATAGGGCTGGAGGGCCTTGACCACATTAGGATGGTGAGATGTGGTAACTGTACATCAAGAACAAAAATGTTAACACTCTAGTGAACTTGTTGTGTAAACTATAATAATAATAATAGTCACTGTCACTGCCCTCCCGTTGTTCGTCGATTTGCTCGAGCGGGCCCAGTAACGTCTCCATTGGAGACTTTGTTGTTACTGTGTCTGGCATATCGAATACTCTCAGTAGCTTGCCGGGCTCTCCGAGAGGGGTGGAGGAATCGAACTCGGGTCGGCCATGTTGACTGTGTGCAAGGCTAACGCCCTACTGCTGTGCTATCACTCCAGCCCAATAATAGTAGTGATAATAAATAGTTTATTTCTAAGTATCTTCAACTCATTTATATCACATCAAACCCATACCAAGCATAGCAATTATTTTATATCACGGTCACGGTCATGGTCCTCCCATTGTTCATCGATTTGCTCGAGCGGGCCCAGTAACATCTCCATCGTGAGACTTGTTGTTACTGTGTTTGGCATATCGAATATGTCACGGGTAGCTTGCCAGGCTTTGCCGTGCGGGATTATTTTATATAGCAAAATGTATTAAGAAAAAAGTCTTCCCAATCCCTATCATGGAAGTTTCTTTGTTCACACATAAAAGTGCTGAGGTGTGAACTCGTCACTTAAGATAAACATTTCCCCATGTCAGTAGGCAGTTCCCACATCATACTTTTTAGTAACAGCATAGATATTTCATCATGTGGGTGTTATCTAGTTAAGCAACTACAATGCTTAAGTTGCTTCCATTTTTCTCCTTTTAAAATTAACTGGAGCTATAGCACAGCGGGTAGGGCATTCGCCTTACACGTGGCCAACATGGCCGACCCGAGTTCGATTCCTCCGCCCCTCTCGGAGAGCCCGGCAAGCTACCGAGAGTATTCGATATGCCAGACACAGTAACAACAAAGTCTCCAATGGAGACGTTACTGGGCCCACTCGAGCAAATCGACCATCAACGGGAGGGCCTTTACCTTTTTTACCTTTAAAATTAACTGTAAGGTGAATTGTCTTTCATATGAATTTTTTACACAGTTCAGTTTATTTTATTAAAATATATACCAGACATTCTTTTCCCAAATGAAGTTTTTCACTTACAATCTGTTTTTGCAATTAATGCTTTATTTTAAGGTCGCTATCAGAGGGGGCTATTGAAAACAGTTGTCAGCAATACAGTGGGAAAGCCTTGGAGGAACTTCGTGGGCAGTACATCAAAGCTGTAAAAAAAATCAAACGTAAGTTTCAAAAGATAAACCCAAGATTCTAACTGATGATTTAAATCTTTTGTTGTTAAATATCTCAGTATCAACTAGCAGTTATGATTTTGTTGTATTTTCCAAATTACTTTGTACTAAGATCTCACCTGTTTTTAAGGGAGATCTTTGCTTGATATCTTTCTAAATTATGCAATACTGAATCATTTTTCCAAGTGAAAATCCTTTGGGGGGCTGGAGCTATAGCACAACAGGTAGGGCGTTTGCCTTGCATGTGACCAACCCGGGTTCGATTCCCAGCATCCCATATGGTCCCCTGCGTACCGCCAGGAGTAATTCCTGAGTGCAGAGCCAGGAGTAACCCCTGTGCATTCACTGGGTGTGACCCAAAAAGAAAAAAATAATCTTTTGAAAGTGACATGAGGTTAGAGTAATTTGTATATTGTTGATTAATCTATTTTTGTCATTGAGCACATTTTAAAATTTCATAGTCTTATAATTTAAGTAATTGGTAGCAAAGTGTCATAAGTTTATTTCTTTCTTTAGTTTGTTTTTGGACTATACCTAGTGATGGTCAGGGTTATACCTGGCTCTGTGGTCAGGGATCACTCCTAGAGGTTTCAAGGGACCATATGTGGTTGGCCATGTATAAGGCAAGAGCCCTATCTACTATACTATCTCTCTGGCCTGTTTTTTTTTTTTCTCTTTTTTGGGTCACACCCAGTGGTACTCAGGGGTTACTCCTGGCGCTCAGGAATTACTCCTGGCACTGCTCAGAGGACCATATGAGATGCTGGTATTGAACCCGGGTCAACCGAATACTAGGCAGACTCCCTATCTGCTGTACTATCGTTCTAACCCTAGAGTTTTTAAGTTTTTGTGTGCACATCTGTAACTACAGAATCATATATGAAAAATATATAGCGTTGAAGTTACTTCCCTGACCTCAATGTAATTCTGAAATTAACAATTATTTCCCAGCATAAACTTTTAAGGACTGTGGAAAATGAGTCTAGTTAGAAGTTGTTCTGTTGTTTCTCATTTTGATATTTGACTAAACCATAAATTTAATTATCCCCAAGTTCATTGCAATTCTAGATAATATGACATACCCTGTAAACCATCTGTCTGGTTTATATTTCCCAGTAGAGTACTTCTTGGGTTTTAAAAAACTACAATCTTGCAGAGAATTTGTGTGATTCCAGGACAATAGCCAGTGCTTATGTAGGAGAAATTTTCTTCCTAAATTTGCCTTACTGTTAACAAAATGAATAGGAAAAGTATTAGGAACTAGATATAACTTGTAGAACTTCAAAATTACGTGGATATTTCAAAAAGCAAAAGTAACCCCTGAATATTGCCAGGTATGCTGCCAAAGCCGTATTCTCTTTGTGATCTTTCAGTTTATGTTTTTTAGTTGTTGCTGGTACTGAGAGGCAGGACATATTAAAAACTGCAATCTCAGTTAAATACAAAAGTGTTGCTGAATGAAAGCAGAATTGGAATACTTTTTTGCTCCTCTTATCTCTCTTTTTCCTTGTCCTTCTCTTCTTCCTCCTCCTCCTCCTCCTTCTCTTCCTCTCCTCCTGCTCCTCTTCCTCCTCTTTTCTTCCTCCTCCTCCTCTTCTTCCTTCTCCTTCTCTTTTTCCTCCTTTTCCTCCTCCTCCTTCCCATATATGGTGCTGTGGATTGAGTCCAGGTCAGCAGTGTGCAAGGAAAGTGTCTTACCTGCTATACTGTCTTTCCAGCCTCTATTTCTTTATTCTTAACTGGATATAGATATGCATGATATATGTTTAAAATATGTGTTTCTCTTTCTTGTTAATAAATTTTGTTTCTGCTGTAATCTCTTAAAATATGAAGGAACTTCCCTTGTGAAAATGCTGTTTTCCATACACACACCTGTCTGCCTTCTCAAGGGACTTTTGCATTTCTTCTCCTTTGAGTCTGTTAATCTAAAAAATACCCTACTTTAATGACTGTGGGAGTATGATTTTTAAAATATGCCTTAGATGATCACTTCATCTCCCAGGAAGTTGTTTTGAAGTCTGCCTCTTGTGCTTATTTTTTTTTTAAAATGCTAACAAGCATGCATTCTGTGGAATTCCTCTGTTCATTTCATCCCTCTGCACCCCACATCCAGGTGATATGCTGCGTTATATTCAGGAGAGTAGGGAAAGAGCCGCGGAAATGGTGAAGGCAGAGGTGTTGAGAGAGCGGCAAGAAACCTCCAGAAAGATGCGTAAATATTATTTGATTTGCCTGCAACAGATTCTGCATGATAATGGAAAACAGGAAGGGTGAGTTTCATCTAAACAAACAGTGTGTCCTGAGAGTACCAGGACAGGGTGCTGTCATTCTTTAAGCATTTTTCCTTCACCACAAGATTAACTATTTCTATGCGATCAGCACTGGGGGCTTGGGAGAGGCTTGTAGCCATGCCACCCAAAATGCTGGCAGAGTCACCGGGAAAACAAAATCCTGGGGCTAAGCAGACTTAGTTTTTTCCTTTATGCTCTATTAATTTAATATTCTGGAACTCCCCCACAGGGCTGAGAAAAAGATCATGAATGCTGCTAGCAAACTGGTTACAATGGCAAAACTGCTGGAAACGCCCACTTCTAAAACTGCTGAAAATGCGGTGAGCAAGAGAGCCGAATCAGGTATGCCAAAATGCACCAGATGAAGAATTTCTTGCCCCCCTTCTATGGTAGATGATAGTTAACATGTCCAGGGTGCAGAGAGTAGGGCGTGTGAAGCAGGAGATTTAGTTTATTAAGTTGCCTTTCTTTGTCACTTAAAGCTAGAAATTTAACAGAAATTTGTTAACGCAAAAAAAGAAAGAAAGAGAGAAAGAGAAAGAAAGAAAGAGAAAGAGAAAGAAAGAAGAAAGAAAGAAAGAAAGAAAGAAAGAAAGAAAGAAAGAAAGAAAGAAAGAAAGAAAGGAAGAGCGAGCTGTGTTCCCAGTTTATGTGGTCTGGGCATACCAGCTTCTCCCCTCCCTAGAAATGATGAAAAAGATTTTTAAAGCAAATAGAGAAGAAGAAGAAATTATAGTTGTAAAAAGTTACACTGGATAAACCCAAAACTAAGAATGTCCTTGACAGTAAGGAGGCGGTCTAAAAAGATGGTCCAAAAGCTCAGTTCCAAGCTGGCCGAGTTCAAGAGCAGGAAGAGCAAGATCTTGCTGGTTCAGAGGCGGCATGTTCTAGAAGTAGTAAGTCTGACAGTTGTAGGAAGGTGTTCTAGAGCAGCAGTAACCCGGACAGTTACCCTCTTTATTTCTCTTCCTGCTCTCTGTCCCCCAAGTCTGAAATTGCTCTGGGTAAGATCAGAAGAAATTACGTCCCCTACAGTAGTTCCACATGCTCGGAGCTACTGGATCTGTCTGTCCAGAAGTTCGTTCGGTCCCACTCTATTCCCAGCACCTTTAAAAGGGTCAAGCCCTGCAGGAGCAGTTCATGAGCTTCCACCTTTGGATTTGTTACCGCCCCTTCCCACCCTCACCACCACCACCACCTGGTATTTCCCTGCCACAGTAACATAGATTCCACATTTAGAACATCTAACTAATAGGTGTTCAACTAAAAATAATTACATTATCATAGAAAGCCAGCACCCCAAAAGACACCAGACTTAAAACAAGCAACAAAACATATCTAAGGAAATGAAATTGACCCAGCAAACGATGGAACTTAGAGAAGTAGAATCATCACTGTCATCATGTCATCCCGTTGTTCATCGATTTACTCGAGCCGGAGCCAGTTCTGTCTCCATTTGTTCCAGCCCTGAGGTTTTAGCAGCTCTCTATACTTGTCTTTCCCAACGCTGCCATATTGGAGGCTATTTCAGGATTGGGGGAATGAGACCTGTTACTGTTACTGTTTTTGGCATATTGAATATGCCATGGGTAGCTTGCAGGCTCGGCAGTGTATATATGTAAAATGGAATACTATGTTGCTCTAAGAAATAACAAAATTGTGCACTTTGCAGCAAGATGGATGAAACTAGAGGATAGGAATATCCTTGCACAAACTATTTTTATGCTATGATTTTGGCCCTCTTCAAGGAGAGGATGTAGATATTAATAACTCTAGACTTTGATGGATAGCTTCAAGGTAGAGTATAAAGATTAAACTTTATGGTTTTGGGGTGGCTGGAGAGATAGGGCAGCAGACAAGGCTTGCTTGCTTTGCACACGGTACACCCCGGTTCATTTCTCTGACATTGCAAACGGACTCCTGAACTCTAGGAGTGATCCCTGAGCACAGAATCAGGAGTAGGCCGTAAGCACCACTGGGGGTGGCCCCAAAACAAAAATAAAATAAAATTTCAGGTTAACTAATAGGGACAGATATAGAAAGTAACTTTCAGTTTTTTAGTGGAAAACTTGAAAGAATATGCTTTCAATCTAATAGAATCAGGAAGAAGTATTTAATGAGTAAGCATGGTTTATATAGAACAGTAATAATAGGTTGAATACTAGTAATCAGATTGGTGAATGGTATGACTTATTAGAAGATCATAAGTTAAAAGTCTCTGAAAAGGGCCAGGCAGATAGTACAGCAAGTAAGGCACTTGCCTTGCATGTGGCTACCCAGGGTTCACTCCCCAGCACCCCACATCATCCTCCAAGCACTGTCAGAAGTTAATTTTTTGAGCACAGAGCCAAGAGTAATCCCTGAACATCACTGGTTGCAGTCCCCCGAAAACAAAGTCAGTGAAAATACAGATATATTATTTTTCTAAAATCAGAGATTCAAAATGGAGAATGGGCAATAGTGTACACCATGTTGATAGTAGAGAAATTGGAAATTTGGTATTAGGTAAATTAGAGTTAAATAAGATCTCCAGTGGAGGCCAGGAAATATGTTCATGTGTTAGAGCACCAGGTTGTCTTGTGGTCCCCGAGCAATGAAACTTATTCTGCATCATGAAGCCAGTCATCACCAAGAGCTGCCCAGACCAGCCCCGTTCTCCCCAGCACTGCTGGATGTGGACCAGGTTTTAAAAAGTGGGGGGAAAAGTTTTATTCATAATAACAAAGGAACAGCCTTCAAAAAACCATAATTGATTTCTTTTTGTGGTTGGTTGGGTAAGATAACGAATTTATGTTTAGTTTATTTTCAATTGACGATCACGACGATCACGACCATCCTGTTATTCGTCGATTGCCTCGAACAGGCCCCAGTAACGTCTCCTTTGTCCTAGCCCTGAGAATTTTAAAAAAGTGCCATATTCAAGGCTCTTTCAGACTTAGGAGAATGAGACCCATCATTGTTACTGGTATTTGGCATATTGGGTATGCCACGGGGAGTTTGCCAGACTCAGCTGCATGGGCAGGTTACATTCGGTAGCCTGCCAGTTTGTCCAAAGTAGGAATGAGATAATAAGATGTCGCGTGGCTGCATTTGCAGCTGCGCGGTTCCGGGAGCTGGATTTTATAGTCTCTGAGTCTTGGCCGTTGATGGGATTACACAGCGCCAGGGACCCAGTTGGTGGGTATGACCCCCGCCTACTGGAATGTGTAGGATCTGGGTGGAGGATGCTCAGCCCGGATCCGAGTAGGCTTGGAGATCTCAGCCCCGGGACCCGCATGCCTTTGTTCCTCTGCCGGTACCTTCATGTGTGCGGAGAGTGGTCTCAGCATTGTGGTGGCTGGTTCTGGAGGTCTTCGGCTGCTGGAGCCCTGATCGGGGCAGGGAGGGAAACTCAACCCACTCCCCTCCAAGAGGCCCCGGCAAGGACAGCCAGGTGTGGGGGCAGGAGACTCTGACATAAGCATTATATTGACATTCAATTGACATAAGCATTATATTCATTTTATATGAACAATGCAATGATTCTGTGTTTGTATACATTTTGAAATTATCATGGTAAGTCCTTACCATCTATTACCAGACATAGTTACAAGCTTTTTGTAGGTAATGAAACCTTTTAAAATTAAACTCCTGGCAACTTATATAACAGTGTATAAGTACAGACACTATGCTGTATATTACAGCTCCATAACACTTTTCTGTGAGTTTCTATCTTGTTTCCCATATATTTCACCCTTATCCACTTCTTCCCTTTGGCAGTCTCATTTTATTCTGTGACTTTAGTTTTATAGTTTTATTTTCCTCAGAAATAGAAAGTAAGAAGATAGTACAGGCTATAAGGCACTTGCCTAGCACATGGCTAACCCTGGTTGAATCCTGCAGTACTGTTGTGACCTCCCAGTACTGCAGGGTATAGCTGAAAAATGGGGGGGAATTCTCTAAATAAAAAATTTGAACTAGCAAGTCAATCTTCAGTTTCACTTCTGAATATTTATTTAAGGAAAGTGGCACTGTAGCACTGTCCTCTTGTTGTTCATTGATTTGTTTGAGCGGGCACCAGTAAAGTCTTCATTGTGAGACTTGTTACTGTTTTTGGCATATCGAATATGCCATGGGGAGCTTACCAGGCTCTGCTGTGCGGGCGGAATACTCTCGGTAGCTTGCCAGGCTCTGAGAGGGACGGAGGTATCGAACCCAGGTCGCTAATACTAATTTGAAAATATGTGCACATTTATGTTCACAGCAACATTATGTTACTCAAGAAATGAAAATAATCTAGGTGTTCATCATGGATGAATCGATAGAGATTATAAGGTGCATGCACATACACAAGAATGTTACTCAACTATAAAAAAGATTAGTATTCTCTGGCAAGATGGGTGGACTTTGGGGGCTGGAGCAATAGCACGGTGGGTAGGGCATTTGCCTTGCATGTGGCCGACCTGGGTTAGATCCCCAGCATCCCATATGGTCCCCCAAGCACCGCCAGGAGTAACTCCTGAGTGCAGAGCCAGGAGTGATCCCTGAGCATCGCTGGGTGTGACCCAAGAGCCAAAAAAAAAAAAAAAAGATGGGTGGACTTTGAGGGCATTATACTATGTAAATTAAGACAGAAAAAGATAAATACCATTTAATTTTACTTTAGCTGAATCTAACAGAAAAGCAATACAAACATAAATATGGATGCCCAGAAGTAAATGTTATTTTGGAGTCAATTAACTCCCATGTTACATAGCATAGCGTCAATTATCTTCCTATGTCTATATAAAAAGGACATTACTAAATAAACCATACAAATAAAATAAAAAAAGAGAAAAACAATATAGGATTATTAGTTGTGCCTCAGTTACACTGTTGTGGGAGTGGCTCAAGAAACCTTAAGCTCCCTGTAGGAGTAAAGACAACACAGTGTTATCCAACATAAACCAGTGTGTGTATTAAAAAAAAAAAACACTTTAGAATGTATAAAGCAAAACCTGATGGAAGTACATGAAAGTTTGGCAACTTCACTATGACACTGGGCTGAGGAAACACTGTCAGAACACTGTCCTCCCGTTGTTCATCGCTTTGCTTGAGTGGACCCAGTAACATCTCCATTTTTTGAGACTTGTTGTTACTGTGTTTGGCATATCGAATACGTCACGGGGAGCTTGCCAGGCTTTGCCGTGTGGGCAAGATACTCTCGGTAGCTTGCCGGGCTCTCTGAGAGGGGCGGAGGAATCGAACTTGGGTCTGCCATGTTGGCTGAGTGCAAGGCAAACGCCCTACCGCTGTGCTATCGCTCCAGGGCTGAGTAAGTGCTTTTTATTTTTATTTTTTTTAATTCCTGGAGAACTTGAAACATTTCAAGAGTCTACCTATTTGATGTTTGTAAACATTCAAATACAAGTACAGGGGTCAGAGAGCTTGTACAGAGGACAAAGCTCTTGTCTTGCCTGTGGCTGACCTGGGTTTGATCCCTGGTTTTCCATATGATCTCTGAGCACTGCTGAGTATGGGTCCAAAACAAAACAAAACAAATCAAAGAAAGACACAAAGCAATTATTCTTGTGAATTTTAAACTATTATTGATGTAAACTTTAAATATAAAATGGCAGTGGCATATGATCAGAAAAAAAGTTGAGATTTAGATAGACAATATGCAAATAATGTCCAGTAGGAAAAAACCCTTTATTTCAGACTTTAGTTTCTAAGGTACACTAAATGAGATATTTTCTATTCCTGAATGTGTGTGTGTGTGTGTGTGTGTGTGTGTATTGGTTTTATAAAAGTAATGAGACTTTCACCTTGCATGTGATAAACCCGGGTGATCTAGTTTTTGATGCCTGCACCCTATGTGGTTCTCTGAGTCCTGAGCACAGAGCAAGAAGTATCCCTGAGCACTGCTGAGTGTGGTCCAAATAACAAGAATAAAATAGTTATGTAATGAGTTTCTTGTAGTCAAGTTTCTTCATTAGAAATGCCATACTGGACATCCAAGCAAATGGCTACATTTATTGCAGTTTACTCTTGATAATCTAGAAAATAATAGATCAGATGAATAGCAATAATAATATATTAGATTTTTAATAACAAACTTACTGAAATTTGTCTAATGGGCTTAGTCAATGTCAAGGAACATTTTAAAATGCCTAGTGTTGATGAACTCTTGAGAATGATGTTTAAAATATGTATGTATTCTTCCCCTTCAGTGTTAATTTTTTCCTAATTTTTTATTCCCCCAACTTTGTATTCTTTTGACTTCAGAGACGCTGATTAGAATCGAAAAATCAAAAAGAAATGTCTTGAGTCAGAATATCCCCTGTCACGTGGAAAGCAAATCAAATGGTACAAAAACTGTGCTCAGGAATACATGCGACCAGGCCCCTAAGAGGAGAGCTGCCTGTAACCTGGAAAAGCGGATGGAGGGCATACAGCATGGGGACACCAAGCAAGTGGGTTCCAAAGGGTCACACACAGACTTCTGGTGTGCCTATAGACACCTAGATGGTTTGCCAAAGGATGTTCTTCCTACTCTCTCTTGCGAAAGTGAAAAAGGTTTTGGATTGCACCAGAAGAAAGACTTCGGCGACACTGGTTCAGAGTCACTTCTTGGTTCAGCCACATGCTCCCTTCTCGGATCTAGTAGAAGCAAACCCTTACCTAGATATACCCCTGGTCTTCCTGAGTCAGCTTGCACAAGTACAGCTTTTCCAGGTCCTAACGAAAGACTTGGGTTAAAAGTATGTAAGCGTCTTCCATTATCAGTAGGTGGAAATGCGACCCCTGAGGAAAATCAAAGTGTGGGTGTTCAGGAAGCTCCAGTAAAGGACAGAGGAGACCTACGCGACTTTGTGGGCGAACCGTCCAGGCATGCCACTCCACCCTGCAGTGTTCAGGAAGTGTCTTATCTCTTCGGCCGGTCTCAAGAAACTCTGGATCCACACGTTGAGTCTGTTCATTCCAAACAGTTTTCAGCAGCCAGCAGTGTGTCAGTTACAGAGAAGAATATGAATTGTCAATCAATGACATGGCAGAGTGGCCGGACTCCGGACCTGGGAGAAGAACGCATGTATTCCCAGCCAGAGGAGACCGGCAGACTTGGGCACTTACCTCATGACACTGATCTGTTAGCATCAGATGTTAAGAAGCCAATCTTTGCAGTACCACCCCCAGTGCACCGGCTGCCTCTGAGAAAAGCTGTGGTTCCTCTGCTGAGCCAACAAGACAGTGGCTTTGATAGTCCATTTGTTAATGAAGACTAATTGCTGTACAGTATAGAAGAAGAATCACTGATATATTGAGAAGGAAACTGGATGGGAAGACTTCATACTGAAAAAAATTGTGGCCTCTGCTTACTTTGAGATGTTTTGATAACATCTATCAATCACATGAGTAAAGTGTTCTCATAAAATTACTTTGAGATATTAATGTTGCCTTAATCTTCCAAAAGCCCTTGGTGTATGTGTAGTCTGCTTTTGTGTGGTGCTTGTATTTTTTTACTAAGCCATCTATTTTATTTATACCTCTGAATTAGTTCTCTAGGCAGTGTTAAATTATTTAAATAAACTTGCTTATGGTCTATAGAATTGTTATGAATTATTTTTTAATTCATAATGGGCAGTGGTGGTGTATTTGAAATTCATCCCCAAACTGCAGACTTTTATGATTTGTATTTTTACCAGATAAATTTAATTTTTGAAATTAACTATGTCTAATGAAGCTATTATAGAATTACTCTACATATGCTTTTTCTGAAAATACCTATTTAGAATTGTAATCCTTGCTGACAATTAGTGGAAAAGAGATTTTACAAGAATTGCTGCAACAATCAAGCTGTATTCTGGGTTAATTTCCTAAGTATTGATCTTTTTTGTTTTTGATTTTTGGGTCACACCTGGTGATGCACAGGACGTACTCCTGTCTCATGCACTCAGGAATTACTCCTGGTGGTGCTCGGGGGACCATATGGGATGCTGGGGATCAAACCCGGGTTAGCCGCATGCAAGGAAAACAAAAGCCCTACCTGCTGTGCTGTTGTTCCAGCCCCATATTGGTCAATTTTTTAACTGACATTTGCATTAGTTAATGTGACATTTAAAATATCCTGTGAGGGGCTGGAGAGATAGCACAGCGGGTAAGGCGTTTGCCTTGCACGCGGCCGACCTGCGTTTGATTCCCAGCATCCCATATGGTTCCTTAGCACCGCCAGGAATAACTTCTGAGTGCAGAGCTAGAAGCAACCCCTGTGCATCACCAGGTATGACCCAAAAAGCAAAAAAAAAAAAAAATCCTGTGACATCTAGATGATTTCCTTTTTGGTTTTATACTTTTTAATGGTTTAATTAAATACGTTTATTTTTATTTATTATTAATGACATTAGTAAATAACAATATTATAAAATTTATTTTAATTCATAAAATAAATTTATTAAAATAAATATCACTGGATCATTGTCCTCCCCTTGTTCATCGATTTGTTCAAGCGGGCCCAGTAACATTGTGAGAGTTGTTACTGTGTTTGACATATTGAATACATCACGGGTAGCTTGCCAGGCTTTGCCGTGCAGGCAAGATACTCTCGGTAGCTTGCCAGGCTCTCTGAGGGGCAGAGGAATCGAACTCAGGTCAGCCATGTTGGCTGTGTGCAAGGCAAACACCCTACCCACTGTGCTATCGCTCCTCCCCCAAAATAAATATATTAAATTAATTTTTGGATAATATAAAAATTATATTAGATTCTTATGTTTATTATAATGAAGTGTAGATTTATAATTCTAAACTGCATCGACATGAATAACCATCTAAATACTTTGTTTCTAGCTGAAATCATTTTCAGATTCTCAGAGATGTATATGAAAGTTTTAGATATATACAACTGCTTTCTGAAAACAGTAGCTGTCACTTTTTTCTCATTCCCAGCAATGTTATGAACTTTTCGTGGGTTATTCCACTGTTCTTTTCAACCAGGCTAACTTAGAGGATGGATGTCATGATGCAGTAAACTCCTAACAATGCTCTCAACTGCAAGAATCTAAAAATCGAATCCCTCAGGTCTAGGAAGCACAATCACTTTAACTGTGGTTGGCATGTGAATGAGCCTGAAAAATGGGACTGAATTTCAGAGCTTGAGATGACATGCAGTTAGAGAAGCCAGCATCCACCTTTGCAGCAATCTTGCTTGAATTCTCGATGACTCAGAGCGCCTTCTCCAACTGTTAGTGTAACAGAAAATCCCCACACCTACTGCATTATGTCCCGTGTGAATACTTAAAACTGCAGATGCGTGAGTGGAGAACTTGCTCCTTGTACATGGATTTTTTTCATCCTGTTGTATCTAAACTCTCAGTCTCGAGGTTGAAATTTTTCAAGTCTCTTGATTTTTGCTATTTTTATTATAGTAATTTTATTTTTTAATAGATAATTTTGAAAGGATAAGATTACTTCATTCCCTATGCCATACACATAAGCATGTGCATGGGGATTTGTAGCATCTGAGTGCGAGGTCAGAGAGAGGAAGTGGGAGCTCCAGTGATGGAGTCATGTAAATCTGACCACTTCATCATGTTTCTCTTTATTTTTTTTTCTATTGCTGATTTTATTTGCCAATATGTTTAGAATTTTCATGTGGATGTTTCATATAAGTGCCGTTGGTCTCTTGTTTCCTTGTGCTATCTTTGACTTGCTTTAGTCAAACAGTAATACTGGGATCTTAGAGTAAGTTGGACTATTTCCCTGCCTGTTTCTGAAGGCATTTGTGTAGAGTGATATTGCTTCTTTAAGCTCTGCCTAGAATTCTCTAGATGAAGCCATCAGGCCCTTTGGGTGCCACTCCCCAGTGCTGCTGAGGGCATGCAGTACTGAGTGTTAAACCTCGGATCTTGCACATGATCGGTTTTTCTTCTGCCACGTGAGTCATCTTCCTGGTCTCCCTTTAGAGTATTAAACATATAACAGGGGCTGGAGCAATAGCACAGCAGGTTGGGCATTTGCCTTGCACGTGGCCGACCTGGGTTCAATTCCCAGCATTCCGTATGGTCCCCTGAGCACCACCAGGAGTAATTCCTGAGTACAGTGCCAGGAGTAACCCCTGTGCATTGCCGGGTATGGCCCAAAAAGAAAAAAAAATAAACAAAAACAAAAAAACATATAACAAATTCAAATATTAAACATATAACAAATTTAGAATGTTAAACACATTACAACTTTTGTTTACTTATTTTTGGTGCTGATGGCCAAGCTGAGCTTACACACATAAAGCGTGTGCTCTACCACTGAGCTACGTCCTTGGCCTTAATAAATAAAAAATACACAATACAGTGTTGTCACTATAGGCACCAGGTTATGCAACCGATCATCAGAATTGATTCATCTGACATGACTAAACTTCATGTCCATGGACAGCAACTCTCAATTCCCATCTCCACCCCATTACTGCATCCTAATTCCCTGACAACTGGGATTCCACTCTGTTTTTGACTGTTTTAAATATCTAGTTAAATGAGCAGCACACAACATTTGTCCTTTTGTGAGTTGAAGTCTTTATTAATTCAGTTTATGAGCACCTGGGTTTCTCTCCCTGCAGTTGTTTTTCCCTTGAGTATGGGTCACTCTTTCCTATCACTTTATATGCTTCATGAATGTGTGGGAAATGAGTTCTTTCATAAGTGTGGCAGCTCTGGATTTGATCTTTGTTCCCCTGAGGGAGGTTGCCACCAATTATTTGTGCTGTTTTGATTTACTTGTTTTGTAATTTGACTGGACTTAATCATCAAAATCTCTTTTCTGTGGTGTATGTCAGCTGACTTCTCTACCTCAGTTATTCAAACATATTTTAGTTTTTAACTTGACATTTTAGGGGATGCCCCGTCCATCTGTAGCGCTCAGATGGTCTTTAAATTATTGGCCAGACATTGTGGCTCTAAGCCTGGAGTCAGTAGCTTCTACCCTCTGCTGGTGTAGCCATGGTAGGGTGCACAGTCAGTTAAGTCTATGAGTTTTCCTCCACATTCTCTTCTTTTGACTGTTCAAAAATATATTTTGACTACAAGTATATCTTCAGTCAGCCCAGATGATGGAAGGTTCTCAGATCTTCTCGACCTATGTTACTCTCCTATTCAGAGAAGAGTTAGTTTTGTTATTTTTAAGAAACTAATGTCCAGGTCTTTTATCCCAGATGGGACCATACTCTCAGCCAACCTTACTAGTACTTTTTGCCGGTTTTTAACCTTCTGACTTTGCTGCTTTAACTAATGGTATAAACAGACATCACGGGTCCATTGCTTTTCACTACAGAGCAAGCCTGCTCACTCCTGCAGAGGAGCTGATGACTTTCACCGCTGTTTCTGCCCTCTCAGCAGGACATCCCCAAGCAGGCTGGGGGGAAGATGATGGTAGCCCCAGGTAAGAATGTAAGTTCTGCTCCTCTTCCAAAGTTTAGCAGCTTATCAATAATTTGTTATTTACCTCTGACTCATTTCTAGAGTCCCTGAAATATCTATATGTATGTTTTTCTTTATCTCCCAATTTTGAATTTTAAAAAACTTTTAAGACTATATAAAATGAACTTACAGAGCCTTCATTTAGATCAGAGACCCACCCACGCCCTCAGTTTATTTTGCCAACCACCCTTTCAGAAAGAAATCACTTAACACCCTCCCAGAGATCTGCTTTCTGTAAGAAACAAAGAAAGTTCCCTCCAACAATCCCCAAGCTTGTTTCCACGGCCCTCCTTCCCCTTATAGTTCCAACAACCCCTATTTAGCCCGCTTTGGAAAACTGACTGAAATGAACCAATCATTGTATTTCCACGGTTGTTTTAGATGTATTTGTGAACATAGATAGACACAGGCACACATGCTTATATGTAGTATGTATTTTTCCTTAACCATGAAGTTAATTGCAGACACCATGAAAATGTATCCTTAAATATTTTAGCATGCATAGCCTTATTTATGAAAAACAAGAACTATTTTTCAAAAATGTCATCACGGTCACAGTTCTCCCATTGTTCATCAATTTGCTCGAGTGGGCCCAGTAACGCCTCCATCGTGAGACTTGTAACTGTGTTTGGCATATGGGCTGGAGCAATAACACAGCAGTAGGGCATTTGCCTTACACGCAGCCAACATGGCTGACCCGAGTTCGATTCCTCCACCCCTCTCAGAGAGCCTGGCAAGCTACCGAGAGTATCTCGCCCACACAGAAAACAGATAAAGGCAAAGCTGGCAAGCTCCCCATGATGTATTCAATATGCCAAAATGCC